CAAACGATTCATCTACCTCAGCCTCCCAAAGCGCTGGGATTACAGGCTGGGTACAGTGGCTCACACCTGCTTTACCTTTTCAATGTGAAAAATAATAAAAATCACAAGACAAATCCTAGCTGCCTGCAGACTGGCTGTCCCTTAAGGCAACTTGGCTCAGACAGGAAGACACGGAAGGCCAAGGAGCTGCTCTGTTTCCCGGAGGGGACACAGGCAGTGACTCTGGAGATAGCTGTCAATCACCCGGGCTGGCACCGCACAGGAGGAAGTGCAGTGTCCCTGTCTCTCTGCCCCTTCCCCGGCTGTCTCTGTTTCGGTGTGAGGCTGGCTTCCGGGAGGCCGGTTCAGCAGGTCTGTTACCATAACGCCTTCTGTCTAGTTTTCTCCTAAGTGAGCCACTCCCTGACCGTGACATCAAACATCACCCTCGCTTTCCTGAAAACCCCGGGGGGAACTGTGTCTAGAGGCACCCTCGCTGCCCATCTGTACCATATCCACTGTCCCTGGAGAGGCGGGGGACCCTGCGTGGCCCTCCCTAGAGTGTGACTCTTGCTGTAGAAACCCCTGGTCAAGGTGTTTGCTCGCAGCTGCAGAGGGAATTGGGGCCCACCCAGTCATTCCAGGCACTGCATGGTTGTCGCTTGGGACACCAGCTGTCCCCGTTTCTCAGTAGAACACATTATGCTCCTATAAGATGTCCCTTCTCTATAAGGTCACACATAATAAATTCCTGGAACCCGAAGTCAGGAAAAAGCTGATTTCTTCAAATGAACTGGTACATTTCCATTTGTATCATTTGCCCCCTGGTTTGGAAGAACGTCTATTATCAAACATGTGCCTGAGACCGACCCAACTTAACTCTTTCTAATAAATTATTTTCTCGGGGTTTACACCAAGGAATGGGATTATTCAGTCAAAAACTAGAAACACGTTTAGGTTTCTTGGCTCACACAGCAGTGTACCCTCCAAAAGGCTGCCACCTGTAGTTAGAGACATTTGCAAGGGATAAATGCGTCTGCTTTCTTGTCATCAGCTCTTTTTCCATTTTCCTCTGATTTTTAAAATCTTACTCATGAATAAAGCTAAATTTAACTAGAGAGCAGCAAGCAAGTGTCCAGACACAAAAAGCATCCTCAGGTCACTGCTGTGAGCCAGGTTATCATTCACCTCCGAAGCACCTGCCTTCAGAGCCATTGTCACACCTAATGGATAATTCCTGACTCGACGCTCTGACTTTGGTCATAAGAAACTCCTGAAGAACAACTGGACACAGGCCCTTATTTATTTCCCATTAAAGGAGCCCAAAGGTCTCTACAGGGGAAGAGAATTCCAGGTCTTAAGTTGGGGCAGGACAGTAGCTCAACATTTCCTCTTAATGGTAAAACATGTTTTTCTTGTGGGAACTTTTAGGAAAACCTTGACACCTGCTCTGTAAGGTCAGGTGGCAGCCAGTGCCCACTTTCTCAGCATTTGCCCACGGAAGGATCTCCAGTGGCCCCTGGGTCTCTACAGAGCATT